CTTACAGTTTTGGAGGTTGGTTAGTCCAAATTGCAGGGAACACATCTGGTGAAGGTCTTGGTGGTGGCAACAGTGACCCAGGAGTCTCAAATGGCAGAAAATGGTGGAGCAGAGAGGGAGAAACCCTCACATGCTCTCCTTTAAAGCCCTCAGAACCATGCCCCAAACACCATTATTAACCCATTCACTACAGCATGGTTCTACCATCTAATCACCTCTTCAAGGCCCCACCTTTCAATTACCATAATAGGATTTCCCACCCAACAGTTACAGTGGGAATTAAGCCTCTAATATATGAACTTTGGAGGACACAATTCAGTCAATCCACAGCACATGGGAAGAGATGACAAGATCACATATCACCAGAGTGGGGGATAGAGGGTGGTGTGAGCCATTAGAGAAGTGCTGAGCGCGTTCGGAAGCTGAGAGGACAGATGGCCCTGTGAACTGTCAGGGAAGGCTGGGCTTGCCTGTCTGTGCCCCTCCTGGACTCAGCAGAGGGTTCGTCGCACTGCCCCGTGATTTCCTAGGCCCCGTACATTTACCTCTCTACCCAAAGTCGTTTCCCAAGTTGGTGTTATCATGTGAAATGCTACAATTTGCTGGCAGAGAAGAAATGCATTATGACAAAAACAAAAGCTTTTCTTCTCTCATAGGAAAGGACTGCTTAAGTTTCATTTTGTCATATTAAAACATTCTGAAATTTATAAGGAATTGCACCGTACAGCTTTTGGCAGGAATTTACCCAGCTCTAAGAATCACAGACTGCCAGAGCTGGAGCAGACGTTCAAACTCACCTTCTTGTTGGGGAGCTTGGGGCCCAGAGATGCAGGTCATGCTCAGAGCTCAGCATTCTCCCCAGCCCAGCAGCCCAGGTCTTCCCACTCCACTCTGGGGACTCCACTGGGCTAAAATAAAACGATTAAGGGTTTGTTTGGTTTTAGTGGGAATTAACGTAACTCGCCCTTTCAGTTGACTCCACCACCATCTATTTTTGCATAATATTTGTTAAAGAACAAAAGAACTTCTGTGTTTTCAGTAGAGTCCTTCAAATAAGATACTTCTCCTTCCTGTGGGACAATGTGTAGTCCTATCTAGACACACAGTGATTTGTTTGACTTCTAACCAAAGACTGAGGATGTGGCGTTTGTGTAGTTTTTTCCACTGTTAGCTGCTAGAGCCCCTTGCATCATAGTGTGTAGGTAGTCAGTAAATTCTGAAGTGAAACAATCACAGTAAGTTGGGGTTTTTGTTTTTGTCTTCCAGGCTAAGAGTTTACATGATTAGACTAACCAACTAAGGTTTTTGTTTTCAAAAAGTCTGTTCTCAGTGTAACTGACCAATAGCTTATATGCTTGCTATTCAGCAGATCATTGAATAAAGTAGTTAATCCCTATCAGAATTGAGGGATATATTAAGGGCAATTCCTATTTTGGCCAGAAAAGAATTTCAGGGCTGTATTAATCATGATATTATTCTGGGCAGAGAGGTCCAAAAAGGCACCCCAACATGTGTCATCTTCTTAAAAAAAAAGACTTTTAAAAGACATTTTTCCCCATACAAAATATTTTTTCAGGACTTTCAAAACTACTGTGATCACTTTCCTAGGGAACGAGCAGCTGCCAACAAACTAGTCCGTCGTACTGAGAAGAAGCTGAAAGAAATCTTCATGCAGGTTGAAGATGAACGCCGACACGCAGATCAGTATAAGGAACAGGTACATGAAGAAAGCAGGGCGAGATGAGTGTCTTTCACCCTGGAAATGCTTCAGCAAAGGGACGGATGGAACATAAGCCAGGTTGTACATGTTGGCTAGCAAAACTAAAAAAATGCTACTTGAAACCTTAATTCTAATGTTTCAACTAACATGTGCTGGTTCATGGGTGCCAGGGACACAACAGTGCTGCCAGTGCATGAGCACACAGAGGAGGGTGGGCGGGGGCACGTCTGGAAGACTGAAGTGTGTGGCCTGAGCTGCAATGTCTTGTCACATCTGCTTCCTGCACAACAGCACATGCTCCATGAGTGCAGAGACGCCTGCCTGTTTCGCTACAATCGCCCTGATGCCTAACAGTTCCTGGGCACAGGTGGCAATCGTGACATGTTGGCTGGATGGAGGGGTGGATGCAGGAGATGTTGAATAGAAAGTGAAGAGAAATCTACTGCACACAGGCCCCGAGTGGTCTCCATTGTGTGCATCTGGCATCCTTTTCTGTGTATCAAGGGAAGGTTTCATAGGCCTCTGAACTGTGCACAGGAGTTGTGCCTCCCTCCGGCTCTCCCCTCTGCTGCTGAGACTTGCTGCCACAGACACTGGGCAGAAGGTGGACAGAGCTGAGGATTTCACTGCCTTTAGCCCAAACCCGCCCCTTTGTTTCCCCTACTCGACCCAATCCCAGGGCCTAGCAACACTGAGGGCAGTTCTGGGTGGGCAGGAGCAGGACCCACAGAGCGCTGGCCACTCCCTGTACTGGCAAGGAGTGAAGGATACCCCCGGGATGCTCTTAGTTCTTAGGTCAGGTCTTCCAGAGTGATTCTGTGCTTGAATCTAAGGATGACGCCTGAAACGCCCATTCTGGAAAGGAGGTATAAAAATGCAGCGTACAGCCTCCTGAGGCTGGGTTGTCCACACTGTCAGCTCTTCTGTATGTTGCATTTCACAATCTCATAGGTCTCTTGCGGGAAGGTATTAAGCTCTGTCATTCTTTTGCAGAAAATTCACAGGTAAAAATGGGATTTTAAAGTTTTTAAAAATTTCTTGTAGCATAGTTTGTTCTGTAAATACTGGCTTTGCTGAGAGTGATTTGCCAATTAAAAAGCCTAAGACTGGCCCCCATCGTGTGCGTACATAAGTGCACGCAGGTGTGTGTCTGTGCTGGTGTGTACGTGTGTGCCTATGCCCACAGGGTGATGACAGAGAGCTGTGCTGACACACTCAGGGAGCAGAGAGGCTGGCACTGGTTTCACCAGTTTGGTTTGTCTTGGTTCATGTAACTTCCCCAAGATGGAGAAGGCCAATGCCCGGATGAAGCAGCTCAAACGCCAGCTGGAGGAGGCAGAAGAAGAAGCCACACGTGCCAACGCGTCTCGGCGTAAACTCCAGCGGGAACTGGATGATGCCATTGAGGCCAACGAGGGCCTGAGCCGTGAGGTCAGCACCCTGAAGAACCGGCTAAGGTGAGTGAGCACAAGGACGCCCAGTGTGCAGACGCCACTCCTGCGTGGGCGTGGCTGTCTGAAGACGTTCACTGAGAGCCCTGCGCAGCACCCAGTCTTCCTCTCGACTCACGTCACTCAAGGTTTCTGACCCTTATGGTAGGCCTTGGGGAGAATAAAAGGAACAGGTCCACTCGAACAGCACCCAGTCTTCCTCTCGACTCACGTCACTCAAGTTTTCTGACCCTTGTGGTAGGCCTTGGGGAGAATAAAAGGAACAGGTCCACTCGTTTTCTTTGCCGTTCTGTAGTGGACCCTACCAGTAACTCTGCACAAGGCTGGAGAGCCAGGTCAAGTGTCCATGGTTGTCCAGATGTACATTAATGAGGAGAGGGCCCAGCATCCTTCTCCTCTCCATACTGGATCCAACGTGCTCCAATGAAAGGACAGAACACGGGAGAGCTAGGGCTAAACTCTCTGCCTGGAAGAGCAACAGGTTAGCCGAGGTGTTGGCACACAGTGGCCAGTGGGCAGATTTGGTTCGTGCCCTGCTTTTGTACAGGCAGGAAGCTAAGAATGGTTTTTACATTTTTAAAGGGTTGTAAAAAATACAAGAAGAAAAAATATGCAACAGAAATCTTATGTGGCCTGCAAAGCCTAAATAAAATACTTGCTGTCTGGTTCTCTACAGAAAAAGATTGCTGGCCTTTGGCTTGGCGGGTAGAGCTTGGCCTTAATCCATCTTCCTTCCCATTCTGTCACAGTCTTAAATCGAAGCAAGCACCCCCAGTTCTCTGAGGCCCTCATCCCGCATACAGTGTGTGTGGGCCGGGGTGATGGCTGCAGGCAAGGCGTGGGAGAGGTGGAAAGCACAGGGTCTCTCCCAGTCGCACCCACCCACTGTGGGGGGGTGTGTGCTAAGGACAGGGTGGGGGTGGAAGATTCAGTGTCATTAGGTGGTTGAGCAACTGGACAACGACATGCTCTCGTGCATCCACCCACAAGCCTCTGCTTTCTGTTTTCTCCAGGCGGGGCGGCCCCATCAGCTTTGCTTCGAGCCGATCTGGCCGGCGCCAGCTGCACATTGAGGGGGCTTCCCTGGAGCTGTCAGACGACGATACAGAAAGTAAGACCAGTGATGTCAATGAGACGCAGCCGCCCCCCTCAGAGTAGAGTCATGGGAAGCCAGAGGCGGCGAGACAGTGGGACACGTGGGGACTTTCCCAGCGCCAGCCTGCCCTGGGGCCTCCTGCAGATTTAGGAAACTGGCAAACTACAGGATTCCTTATGGAAAGATCAGCTGTGTCTTAAGGCTTCCAGCCTACGCACACTGTATCCTGCTTCAGATTTAGGTACAATTGCTCCCTTTTTCTATATATACATACACAAAACACACACATATTAAACAAACTGTCTCATTGCATCTATTTTCCATGTATTCATCAAGAGACCATTTTATAATACATGTTAAGAAGAGAACCCTTTTTGAAACAATCTCCTGACCCTCCGCTGCCAGGCGCTGGGCTATTTGGGCGGCGGTGGTGGTTGCTCAGTCGCTCTGCATGCTCTCTGTCTACAGACAGGTAACTTAGTTCTGTGTTCGTGTGGCCCCGACTCCTCGGCCACATCGAGTCTCTTAGAACATTGTGGAACCTAAACTGCACTTGTGTCTCTCATTTCCTTCAAATAATGATCAACACTATTTCAGCGAGCAAACTGTGAAAGGGACTTTGGAAAGATTAGGAGGGTGGGTTGGGCTGGAGGAAGTGGCACCCATTTGGGGCTGCCATGCCCATCTCCCAAAGGGTGGCTCTGCCCCTCGAGGTGGTGGTGTCCCTACATCTACTCACGTGAGCTATCCTTGGCCAGGGCTGGTCTGTGTCTGGAAAGGGTAGTGGCCACGACGCAGCAAAGGCCGCAGGTGGCAGCCAGCACACTGACTTCTGGATGACGGTCTCCGAACCAGCTGGCTTCACCAATGCCCTGCTCACTCAGGAGCAAGCAGCTGTGGGCCCCTGAGCAGGAGCTGATGGAAGGCCCTCCGTCACCAGCCAGCCTCTCATGCTGCAAATTCAGCCGCTGCTTTGAGCCCAAAATGAGAATATTGGTTTTGTGTCCAAGGTTTGTTCTAAGTATGTCTGTGAGGTTTACAGAAACTCAAGAACAGATGCCATCTGCCTGAATGTTGACATGCCAGTGGGTGTGACTCCTTTTTCATTTTTCCCTCTCCCTTCCCTTTGGACAGTGTCACAGTGATCATTTAGCATCCTGTCTTTGGTTGATAGTTGAGCAAACTGACATTACAGAAAGTGCCTTAGACACTACAGTACTAAGACAATGTTAAATATCTTATTTGCCTCTATAACAATTTAATGTATTAAGTTTTGACTGTGCTTCATATCATGTACCTCTCTAGTCAAAGTGGTATTATAAACATTCAGTGACAATGAATCAGTGTTAATTATAAATCCTTGATCCTCTGCAACGTGCTTGAAAACACAAACCTTTTGGGTTAAAAGCTTTAACATCTGTTAGGAAGAATTTGTCATGTGGGTTTGGAATCTTTGATTTTCCCCCTTTATGAATTGTACTGGCTGTTGACCACCAGACACCTGACTGCAAATATCTTTTCTTGTATTCCCATATTTCTAGATAATGATTTTTGTAAGACAATAAATTTATTCATTATAGATATTTACGCCTGCTCTATTTACTTGGAGAAAAAAGCACCCATTGAGAATAAACAGACCTCAATAAACAAGAATAATCATGTGAACATGGAATCTGTTTTCTCACCTTCTGTTCTTGACTTCCCATCTGTGATCTGATCAGAGGGTGGCTAGCTACACAGACTTAAAGCCATGACACCAGGCCCACTTTTTCTGAGGGAGGGATTACTTTGGGCAGTCCTGGCTCCGAGTCCCGTTCTCACCGGTGGCCTCACAGTGTGTAGATGCGCTGGGGAGGAAAAGACCACCTGAAGGCAGGGGCTAGAGACCCAGCTATCAAGGAAGCAATTTAGGAGTATTTTGGTTGCCAAACCATGAAGCTCATTACTAGACAAGAGCATCTTAAGAGGTCCAAGAAGTTTCAGGCCCACTGAAAATGCTTTAGGAAGTGAGTGATGAGACCCAAGGAAAGGGCCGCCTCTAATGTGGCCAACTAGGTTGAGAGACGTCCCAGGGGAGCACAGAGTCACATGGAGAATAGTGGTTTCTTATTCTATCATATTCTTAGGCTGGTTCTGGTAGTAAGAGGCATATGTCTAGGCTTCGTGGCAGCAGTGGGGACGTGAAAAACAGGCAAAAGTGCTCCCTTTCTCCCTGGGAGGAAGGTGCGCTGCAGTTAGTGTTTCAGCTGGGTTCTTGCCCCTGCATCCCATACCCTAGTCCAGGAGCTTACAGAATTCAGAGGCTTTTTTTTTTTTTTTTTTTTTTTTTTCCAAAAAGAAAAAATTCTTCCCTACTGGCCGCTTTTGCTGCTGTTTTTGTCCCAGTTTCC